ATTATTGGAAATATAATGCTATCACCCAGTCAGGATAATTCTAACATTTCTGGTAGAAGATATAGGAGGGCTAGTAACTCTCTAGGAGGCTATCGATTAATTCCTGTGTCTTTTACATCATATTTACTAAATGGCCTCTCTCAACCATGAGTTACTGCTGGAACTTTCTAACAGAGTAGTGACTCAGGGTGGCCCTCTTGTGGTAGACTAGCATTCTCAGGGCTTTTTAACAGTCACTAAATGAAGAGATAACCCTAGAACAGTCCCTTTATTATTTGATTTTATTGTCAGCATTATCAACATGCCCCAAGTCATGAATCTGTAAATAATAATGAGATGCTAAAAACAATTTTGAAAACTATAAGCAAGGACTGTCTCTAGTTTTAAATAACCCACATTTCTCAAATATGTTATTGTTTTGTTCAGAATTTGGACCCATAACTTAAAAGAAAAGATTGTTCAGAACTGTTTCTTTTGAATATTTCTGTCATCTGGAAATGTCTATACATAATCCCCATGACAGATCTACTTGGCTAAAATATCTGTTGACATGTCACCAGTCCTCAGAATAGAAGAAGGAGCCAGCATCCCATGATTCTAAGGAAAAACATCCAGCACTGGGAAAATAGTGCATTAGCTGAAACATAATAATCTAAATCTGTCACTTCTAAGGATAATAAATATTCTGGGTATATTCCTCCTGATTTTATACCCAAAAACAGAGCCTTGAAAGTATCAAAATTATATTTATTTTATTAACACATGGTTGCAAGTATTCTATTCTAGGACTCAGAGGATATAGGAGCAGATTTCACAGAAGAAATTCAAAAGCCTAGAACTCACCACTATATGGTCTAATTCAAAAAGTGAGAGGAAGTTCCAGCTTCCTATTTATTTTAAATATAAATCTCTGAGTGATTGCAGTGTGAGCTAGGGCTAAATAAACACAAACTGTGGTCCCATTGGTGGAATGCTATGGACACTACCGGAGAATCTCTCCAAACTTGCTTATAAATTTATTTCAAGGTACTAGGCTACTCAGGATATGAGCAGTCATGCTACAGATCATATTTCAGAGTATCTTCAAGTTGACCAAGCATTATGAGTATGAAGATTTGTCTTATTCTTGTTCAAATCCTCATGCTCCAATCTACCACAGAGCTGCTACTCGCAATTGTTTGTTAAATGGAATGTTAATTGAATTTTCCAAGAGTCTCCTTAGAAATTGATAATAATTTTAAGATTGAAGTGTTCTGCTAAATGATTTTTTTTTGGTGGTCCTGAGGTTTGAACTCAGGACCTCATGCCTGCCAGGCAGGCACTCTATCACTTGAGCCACATCACCAGCCCATCGTAAAGTATTTTAAAAATTACAAAGGGCAGACATTATTCTAAAAGGAATGATTACTTAAAGCATGTTACCTATAATAGTTTCTAAACTATTGTAAGAATAGTTACTTTTTCAAAAGTCAGTCTCTTTTTCTGATCTTTTTCATCTCCTTTCTAATGAAGCTAGAAACACAGTGTCCCTTTTACTGTTAAATATATTGAAATGGTAAAGAAGAATAAACTAAAAACCATATAAGCAAGAAGTCAGAGTCTTATAACAGCCAGCATTGTCATAGCATAAAGAAATTAAATGAGTAACTGCTTTGTGATACTCCGGGATCATGCAATAGACAGGAAACTGTAGACTATGCACTACAGTCATGCTAAAGCCCACACTGCTGTGTTTATCTTCAGATTTTGTTTTTCAACTGCTCAGTCACAATGCTTTTGTCTTTGTGTTTTGAACCAAATTTATATTAGCTAAGGAAACAAACCTCCCTTAATAGTCCTCAAAATAAATACTCGCCTTGTCTGACTCTTATGTCAACCTTGAAAGATAGAGTATCATTTCCTTCATTTGGACATAGAATAAAACTGAATTTAAAATTTAACAAAGACAGAAATCAATCTTTCACTCTCTTCTCAAAGTCAGCACTCTTAGTGTTGACTCACTCTTAGGAGGTGAAAAAGATCAGAAAAAGAGAATGACTTGAAAAAGTAAATTCATTCTTATTTATGTTAAGTTTAGGGTACCTCTTTAGTTCCCTTCCCTTAAACTGCTTGGAATTTTAAACTTTAAGGCACTCCACCAGGAGTGAGAAGACCTGAATTCTATTCTTGGTGTTGCTAGTGAGTGGTTTTGTGACCTTGAGCAGATGACTTAGCATCAGAGCTTTGTCTCTCTCTGCTGTAAAATGAGAAGGTTAGCTGGATGATTTCAGAGGCTCTTTCTGGCTCTAAGGTTCTATAAGTCTGGAAGTACCTGCTAGTGATATTTATGCTTCAATCTTTACAAAATGTTCTAGTTTGTGACTTAATATTATCATTAGTACAGATTTTTAAAATCATTTTTATAATTTTCTTTATGATTTCTCCACAGCAACTGGTGCTTCTACATTTATTTTTATTAAGTATTATGATAGACATTGTTGTACATATCTACTATACATTGATTAGTATGTCTTCAGGAATGAGAGTTATAATTCTTTCAGAAACACAGAGCAGTCATTAGGGTGCAGTTCATATTTGAAGGTTTGGGTGATCAAATGGTTTACAAGCAACCTGGATTACACAGCAAATTGCATGTTTTCCATAAGCTTTTCAACCATTCTGATGCCAACATGAAAATGCCAGGCAGTTCAAGATGTCTGAATATCTCTGTAGGGCTGAGTACTCCATCATCAGTCTCTTCAATCACATTTCCTTTTTTTCTTTTTCTTGGCAGTACTGGGTTTGAACTCAGGGTCTCATGCTTATTAGGCAAGCACTCTACCACGTGAGCAATGCTTCTATCCCTTTTTGCTTTAGGTTATTTTTCAGACAGGTTCTCATGCTTTGTGCTGAATAGTTGCTGCCTTTGTGTCCTACCTTTTAATTGACTTGCCTTATCTTTTGGATGTGAAACATGGCATGGAAATTGTAAATAACATAAAATACAATTATTCAACAGAAAGAGTTAGTAAATACCAGAATAAGTGGTAAACTTTGAATGAAACTTTTGTCAAAGTCTTTCTCTAACTTTTGATTCTGCATGTAATTTAACATCAGCTTTACCAGGACAAGAAGCTGATATAGGACCTGCAGTAAACAATTACTGGGGAGGCCCAAGAAGAAGGACATTGAGTGACAGTCTAAAATATATCCCAACATAACCTCTCCTATAACTTAGCCACATACTTTATGAACTTCTGATAGAACTTTGGGAAAAGCCCTAATTTTACTCACAAAGGCCACATACAAATTAAGTGGTTTGGAAAGAAAGTCCAGAGAAACTGTTATTTAATGTTTCTAATTGATGGTTTCCAGCAATTCCCTCCTGCCCAAAAACTTTTCTGTTTTCATAAGGATGGAGGTAAACATGAACTAATGTTTACTATGTACTTCTCATTATATGTACCTTTCATATCTTAAAACCTCATGGAGTAAATGTAATTACTAGTTTAATGAAGAAACCGAGGCCGTAAGATCACAAGGTTAAATGGTGGCAGTAGAATTAAAAACTAGATTTCTGTGACAAAAGGGTCTCCACTTAGGGACCTTGTTGGAACCCTGCTCCTACACAGGATGTGTTTCTGTGCACTTGAGCTCTTAAGCCACCATTGTAAGATCAAGCTAATATTATCAATAGTCATTGTTGTTAAGGGGGTGAACTGAGATAAAGATCTATTTGAAGTACTTAGCACACAGCCTTTCAGAGAGCTGATCTCAATGAATAATCACTGTCATCATGACTATTATCTTGCTGTTATTGCCATTGAGCTATGATGCGGGGCTTTTCGAACACAGGATAGTATTTTTTTCAGCTTCCTACGTGTATTAAAGTCCTACTATGAACAGGTTGCTATTATTAAATGTTTTCGCTACCCATGAAATATTTTCTGGAAGCATGCAAAAATAATTTGAAAGTGAATATGTCATGCTTCAAAGACCATACTGGGGAAGCTCTTCAACTTGAAGCTAAGACCTTATTATTTAAACTTTAATATAACTTAGTTGCTTCACTAGACACAAAATTGTTCCAGAGACTTCCAGACTAAATTAAACATTATCAGATATGTGTATACAAGAACACAAAACAAACAAACAAATAAACAAAACATCTATAAATGTTGCCAGGGAGGCAGTCTCCCAGCATTTCCAGAATTGGCTGATTCGATCTAGTTTAGGAACTTTTCCATACACTTGAGCTGCTTTGTGCTCAAGATTGGGCTGCAGCACACCTCAACTGAAAGCAAACACATGGGTAGCTCACTGTTCTTTTTCTTTCCTTCCATGATAAAAAATATCATCTTTTCCTATAGGCAATGATTTCTTCTAATGTAAAGATATCACTATCATTTTACATACAGGCAACATGTTGTTATCAAATAATGAAGAGCTATGAGTCTGGTTTTATATATGTCCCATTTCTGTATTACTTAAAGGTAAAAGTTCAATAAATTTTCATGAGCTTTTGGGGATATGTCATATATACCTATAATACATATGCTCACTATACACGATTACATTTATGCATATGTATATATTATATATATATAATCACTGCATGTTGTTCTGCTACATCCAGACACAGACTTCTACAGGCACTGAGGAGTATATCCTAATGTTAGCTGAGAATGAGAAAGAGAGTAAGAGATGCAAGGGGAGGGATAGTTCTTTTCCATAAGAAATGAGTTTACTTTTCCTAATAAAAGAAATCTAAAATTGGCCATTGTCATCGTGTGATGTTAACAAGCAGCTCTTTTGGCAAGTTTGAAAATGCTGGGCTCCATTATAAAAGTTAAAAATGTCCTGGACCTGGAGTTGTTTACCCAGAGTGGGAGCTGCTCTAAAGTTACAGAGCTGTGGTTGGAAGCAGTGACTTGAAGGCCGCCTCCGAGTAACTGACGTCACAGAGGTCTCAGCTGCTGTTGTGACACTGAGTTGAGCTCTTTGACTGTGAAAGTGGTAAATGTTTCAAAGCGACTTGTCGGTACTGTTCTGTGGACTGGTGGACTTAACACTGTGTCCCGTTTTCTCATAAAAGATCAAGATTCTCTGAGTTGAGCCTGCTCTCTAAGACAACTAGCTCTCCACCCTACTTCCTTCCATTGCTAGATTGACCGGAGGTTGAGCTGCCAAGCGATTGCCTCCCAGTGCAAGGTATGTTTCTTTCTGGCAAATTTGAAAGCAAATGAATAATTATGGCAAGATACAGAGGGGCTGCTACTGAAACACTTTAAAGTATGGATCTGTGTAAGTGAAGAATGATTTCAACATCTGCCTGTACTGTTGTCTGTGTCTGGGCTTCAGAACAGTGGGCGGAGTGCAAAATGGATTGAACTGACTCAGAAGAGTCTGGTCAGCTGCTAAGGGTGGATTTCCCGAGTCTAGACTGACAGTGCCACCCGCTCTCTGAGACTGTGTTTCTCAAAACATACTGCTTCTCAGTCATTCACAAAATGCTTGGCTCAGTACAAGATTTCATTAGGTAAATTTATTAGAATATAATTTGTGTTAGGATCAAGACTTTCCAATATTTGCAAATTAAAGTTCACAACCCTTGAGACTGCTGGTATTTGAAAGTTGCAATACAAAATAAATAAATGTTTCATCCAAGGCAATGGTGTATGCACTGCAGGATGAGTGTTTCTGTAATTTGAGCTGAAGTCTGGGCCATTCACAAATGGTTAATCTACAGTTAGGAAGAAACTCCACTATTACAGCTTCTGCTCCAAATGATTAATTTTAGACATTTACCCAAGTCAAGAGATACTATACGTTAAGAAACGTAAAATCGGTGTGCCTAAGCTTGAATGTTTTCTAGTTTGAGTAAATAACTGGAGAAACAATAAAGGAGATCATAATTAAATGAGAAAACAAAACCAATTTCTTTGGAATTGCATGTGATTATGTCTCTTTGACCTTGTCGGAACATGAGGAACATGTTGAAATAGTAATCCTCTTTCCCTCTAACAAAATCAAATCAGGGTGGTCTCTGGAAAGATGTATTTGCAAATGAACATTAGGGGAGGGATGGAACTTACTAACTGGTTGAAATAATGTCAATAATTGACAGTAGCCTGGAAAAGGGGTTAGAGAATTTTGGAGGCAAATGTGCAGTACTTGGAGAGGTATAAGCACAGGAATTTCTAATCCCTCAAAGTTAATCAGGAACAAAGCATCTCCAGGCCAAAGTACTTCTTCTAGGAATTGTGAGATTGGCAGTACCCTGCTGTGTATTCTTCAATCATTTTGAAAAGTAGAAAAAGGAAATAGAAGAGCAAGAAATGAGTACTCTGAACAAAAATCTCCAAAGAGAGAAGAAGCAATATAGTAGCCTCTCCTAAAGCACTGTTTTGTTTACTTGGCTAAAATACAGTTTTCAGTGGGCAAGATGGAAGTTAAAATGGTAATGACCAAGGTATAGTAAAAATGGAGTACCTCTCATAAAAAGAAGTATTGTTATGACCAAACTGAGGCTAATTTGGGGGATGAAAACCGTCTTGTGAGACCCCTGTGTTACTCTTAAATTTTTGCTTCCTAGTAGGGCTGAAAGGTTAACAAAACCATTTTCCTCCCATCACCACACTTGCACAATCCACTCACAAAACTTTACAGTCCTGGCTTCCAGCCTTGGGGAGGAGAAGTAGGTTAAAAGGGATTATGTAATGCTAGTTTAGAGTCGTTGGAGAAAAGAACATGTGTGTGACTATATAAGGCAGCTCACTCTGTCTTCTTACATTTGTGCTAATAAATTTTTATTCTGAATGAAATTCTGGAAAGAGTGAAATGGAGAGCACAGAGATATGGGAAGGAGGGGTGCAGAACACAGAAATTCTTCCTTCTCTCCCACATAGATGCCAGCATCTGTGGGAGGAAAAGAGTGACAACTAAGAACAAAGAGACCTTTTGTATTTGCCTCAGAGAAGAGTATAAAATTGAGTTTTTGAATCTGCTGAACTTTTTTACCCCATAACTTCTCACCACAGAACATTCTGTCCCTACAATGTTGCCCCTTTAGTTTGACTATTTAAATGTTTAATTTAGAATTGTAACAAAAGCAATTGCATATAAGATTTGTTCAAATTTTTACTACCAATAATTTTTTCCCTCAATGTTTAACATGTATCTTTCAAACACTTGAAAAATACTAAGACAAGGGAAAGGCATGAAGAACAGAAGAGCTCACACACTTAGACTTGTTTATATCAGTTTTCTCATTAACTAAAAGTCAAAAAAAAGTTTTATTTTGGACAAACAAAAAGGAATAGATGAAGGAAAGGAAGGAAGGAAAGAAGGAAGAAAGCAAGAAATAGGCTCTTATAAAGCATTCATTATGACTCAGACAGTATTTAGATACTTTTATTAAGCATTCTCTTTCTTGCTTACTTCATCTTTGAAATGATTCCATGCCCCTTCCCCATTTTTTTGAGGAGGAAGCAATATATTCAAGTGTATGATATTTATAACAAGACTTGAGATGCTAAGAAGGCTAACTAAATCCTCCCACAAAAATTGGCATGGATATTGCACTATAGAAATTTTCTTGCAAAGACTTCTTTTTATCCATAACCATTACATTTCTGGCATTAGGAACTGCTCTGGCCTGGAAAGGGGGAGCTCTGTAGATTGGCTCTTCTCCATATTAAGTGATGAGTTTGGCTCTTTGTAGATAAGCACAGGATTCAGACTGCTTCAGGAATGTTACTGGGGCTCACATAGCCATGTTACCAAGAGCAAGATTGATTTAGAGTATTTCTGGATGATTTTCTGGTAGTAAAAAAGAGAAAGGTCTAGAAGCTTTGTAACTCTGGTGTGGAAGTGGTTCAAGAAGAGGTAGAAGCAAGCCATGGCACACACCTATAACCCTAGCAGTGCTAAGAGGATCATAGTGCAGGCCTGCCTGGGCAAAAGTGCAAGACCTTATCCTAATTAAAAAGAGAAAGAATAGTGGCATAGTCAAGTGACAAAGCACTTGCCTAGCAAACACAATTCCTATTATAGCCAAAAAAGAAAAAAAAAAAGGTTAGGAATAGAAAGTAAAATTGGAGCAGTTTGCTACAAAACTGTAGGAAAATTTTATGATTATGATCTTTAAACATTTCTGGTTTTTAACAACAGTTGAAATGAAACACAGACTATTATAGCACCTCTTTTCCAGGTATGTTGTAATTCGTCTGCTCCCTTTTTATAACTTCTTTGGTTAAATCTGCCACTGTGTCTTGATGTCTCAAACTACTCCATCCTTCTTAAAAAGTTCCAGTGGCAAGTAACTTCTAGGCCGCAAAACAGTTTCAGCTCACAATTAATTACATATGGTTTTAAAGTGATCTTCCTGTCTCAAAATAAGCACTGTCTGCATTTTCTATGAATAGTTGTTAGATAAACCTAAAAGATTACTAGGTAATCAGTGTCAGTGAAAGTTAAATTAACCAAAACAAAGAAAAACTAAAATTTTGCAGACTATTTACTATCTTCATTTTGTTAGGTCTTCATTGACATTACTTATAACAAGTACTTAAGTTTACTGGCTTATAAGTATGGAGGGGAGCAAAAGAAGAGAGATCACAGAAGGGATTAAAAATGAGGTTACAAATAAAGCAGGCTACTTGAATAAAATGAGATATGTTAATAGCTAAGTTTGAAATTACTTTTCTTCATTGAATTAATCATGATATTATGAGTGCCAAAAATTAAATAAAAATTATTAGTGTCATTAGCAAATGGTCTGGGAGAAGGGTAACAATATAGATCCCAATATTATTGGGTGTTTTTAAAAGTGTAACCCTGCATGTACAATTAACTTTTATTTTATTTTTTTTTGTCAATCATCTTAATAAACTTTTATTGAAAAGCTGAGCTTAGGTTCCTACAATTAACTTTTAAAAAACAATCCTCATTAATCCATTATAATTCATTGATAGACTATTCAAAAAATAAAATGTCGTTGACACTTATCTAATATTTGGGATTTGAAATATGTATCTGTCTTCTGTGAATACAAAGTTGTGCTTGCTGCCTGGTTATGTAGACTGAATTCTACAGTACCAGCACCTACGGAATAATAACTATTAATTCCAAGTGGCTGTAGGTAGCTTATAGCATTATGGTAATAGCTTAGTAAACTGAAGAATTAAGGTTTTTTGGGGGGTGCTGGAGATTGAACCCAGGGCCTTACACAGGCTAAGCATGTGCTCTACTACTGAGCTGCAATCCAGCCCTGAATTTCTTTCAGGCATAGTAATTTCAAATAGAGTCATACATTTTTAATATACTTTTCTACCTGCTAAAGAGATACATGCCTTTATTTTCAATGGAAGTCAAAACAAGATTTTTAAAGCAAAAATGGGAAAAATTTAAATATGTCTCACACTACTTTTCATTCAATATATAATTTAATATTTATAATGATTCTATAAATAGCTCCCATTTTAATGTAAATACATGAAATTTCAGGAATTTTACATGACTTTAAATTATATCTTCAAACCCTAAATATACTTATCCTGAATGTTAGAAACTTTATTATTTCATTTACTACTTTATGTAATATAAAATTCCTTGCAAACTAAGCATATGTTTCCTTCATTTCTCTGTATTCAACATCCTAAGCATGTTTAGCATATATAGTACATTAGAAGGAAAAGAGAATGTGAATTTTAACATATGTCTCACAGGATAGTGTCGATGCTTTTAGATTTTACTTGATGAAGTAAAATAATGATTTTTCCCCTTTTTATTGATTAGGTTGGATTCTTGCTGATACATCAGTCTTCCAAGTTAATTACCGATTTTGGGGTCTTAGTTGGTAAAGTAATCACATTTGACGTGGGCTTGATCTCTGAGTACTGAATTGGGACTGTCATCTGCACTGTATTGGGACTTTAAGTCACAGGAATATATATATATATACCTAGATTGCATCAGAACAGAAAGAGTAACTACTATATCAGAATGTGCTACACTTGGGCAGATGTGACCATACAATTGAATTTCATACTTAAACTCTTGGATATTCATGAAAAAATCTATTTTTAGATTAGGTGGTTAAAGGAATATTTATAACTCACATGTGCATTTAACCATCTTGTCTACTATAATTTTGCTGGTCCGGTCTCTAAAGCAAGGGTAAAGTTTTTGGACAATAGTTAGTACTTTATCGACTATGTTAGTTTCTTCTTCCTGAACAGCTTGTTGTTATCTCTTCTTTGGGTCCAGTTTTCCTGTAGTTTGTTTATGTCAGTGGCTCTTGACAAAATGATAAAATATGTTTCTAGAAAGCATATGAATGTGGAACTCTGTCTTGTTATGTTTATATTAGGCTTTATTTTAAAGGCAAGTGAGACTGCTTCAAATAAAGCAACTCTAAGCTTCCAAGAAACTGTTAAGAGAGGGCAGAGACAAGCAGAAACACTTCGCTGACACTCACACAGTTGCCATGGACCTACATAAACAGTGGGAGAACACAGAGAGTAACTGGCATAAGGAAAAGATGGAATTACTGGACCAGTTTGACAATGAAAGAAAGGAATGGGAAAGTCAATGGAAGATCATGCAGAAGAAGATAGAAGAGGTACAAATTAATTTGTTTTGAATTTATGGTAAACTTCAAACTCAATGAAAATTTTGTTGAACTTTGGTTTATATTAGAAACTATTTTTTATTTTCCTTGTTCTACCAAAGATATGCATGTCTCAGTAACATTTACTAGACTAGCATAAACTTACCCATCTTAGGGATTACACTTATTTTGTAGGTCATATGAAAATTAAGACCTCAAAATGTCTCTCTAAAATGTATCAACTTATTATTTTCTGACTAGAAAGGCTTGGTATCAAAAGTGATGTATATATTCTGTAAAAGTTTACAAATACCAGGGTCTAGAAGGCAAATGAAAGAAATACATAATTGGTGAGACATAAATTATTAGAATTATAATTGGGCTTTAGAATATATATTTTTCCTGAGATGATTTATGAGTAATGTCTACCAAAGAAAACTACATGTAAGAAAACTCAGTATCATCAAAAAGAGTACCATGTATCTGACAGAAAAAGGGTAGTGGACATGAGATTTATTGTGGTTAAAGTAATTTTATTCTTATTAACCATCAGCCTTCAAGCAGCTGTACTGGTGAATATTAACACTTGCTCCAATTAGAAGTTATTTATACTAATCTTGCCTTATTCAGGTAGAAGCCACAATATTGAATTTTATGATTTTATGCAACTTACCAAAGCAGTTATTTTAACACATTACTTGAACTTTTTTTTCAGGTAATCAAAGTAAGTGCTTTATGTGTTTATAGTGTAAACACTTTTTTCTTATTAGCAGCCAGATACTCAGTTATGAATAAAATACAAATTGACAAACTGGCATGCCAAAACAGAAGATAAAGAAGAGTAGCTATAAAACTCTAAAATAGAGTCCTCTAAAATAGAACTGAGAAGGCATTTGGATAGTATATGATTAGAGATTAATAGACATCTCTACATCACGTTTCCGTGTAGGAACAAGCATCCTACTTGCTGCCTTAACTCTGCCATCTACTCAGAGACTTGGATTAGATCAACAGGGAGATGCTAAGGTCAAATAAAAATCTAAAACTCCAATTCAACCACAAATTGAGATAGTCATGGATCACCAACTGTTACCAGTTGGTAACAGTCTCTGATAATTCTAGCGTCCAACTCAAATTATTTAAAATAATTTTAAATAATAATTAGTGTAGCCAATTATTTAAAACAATGTGCTATTTGTTTAAATTTGCTATTGTTTAGTAACTATTCAGACAACTCTGTAGTTGCCATATATGGAAAATATTAGCTATATCAATTAGCAGCATTAAATATTCTTTAAACAGGGTTATAGTTCATAAAGATACTGGGAGACAGACACTGTAATATTTTTTTCTCATCTTGGAGAGTAACTGTCATGGTGTTTATTATTTGCTGCCTGTGGTACACAGCTGCATAATTGGGATATGTTTATATAACGTGTTTACCCATAATGTCCACATATACAAAAATATGTATAAATAGTACCTTCTTACAGGCTACAAAGCTAGGATAAAAAGATAGAAAAGCAGAAGGAAAGTATTCTCACAGGATACAGAGAATCAAGATAATTTTTAAACTAAAATTCAGAAATCAATACTTGAAAAAATGTCACAATTATAATAGATTGTATTTGTTTAACATTAATTAGTAAGTTCTGCTTATTAAATTATATGCAAGTTGTTGAACTATGTGTTAGGGAATTGCAGACTGACAATGTGCACCTATAACATCAGTGATTCGAAGTGACAATATCTCCTAATACAGTATTCAGCCTAGGTCACTAAGATGCTTATGACCCTTTGTTTAGCCACTATCCACAGTAATTACATTTGATATTTAAAAATCAAGAGATAAATACATGAATCACTCGACACTTGGAATAATCTAGATAGAAACTCAGACTATTGAGAAATTATTTAGAGTTGATAGACATCTAGAAAATCTGTTCATCACATTACGGTCTTTCCTGCTTACCTCCCTTGGTAGAATGATCAAATAACCATTAACAAGGTCTGGGTGCCAGGTAAAAGATAGATTGCCTTATGCAAAATAAATGATTTTCCACTAATTATGTAGGTTTGTTATTTATTCACAACTTACCCAAGTACCCAAGAGAATTTATGATGGCATAAAAATTAATACATGGTAAACTATGCAAAAACAAAGTAGAAAGCTGAAGACAGGAGGAAGATTGTACATAGAATGCAGCAGTGAGTCTGTCTTTCTAATAACTCAGCAACAAAGTTATCAGGTAAATATTTCTCAGTATTCAGAAGACAAAAGCAAATGTATGTCCCAGGAATTGCACTTTTCTCCCCGGTTTTGAATTCACCCATCACTTAAAAAGAAGGCCACATCACCCAGACCTTACATTTAACATGGTACTGGAGGGGGTGCTGCTTTTTACTCTCTCCCTTGTTAGAGCGAGTGTTTTCTCTCACTCCTGGTTATTACTGAACCTAACTGGGATTAACTGGGGGTGACTGGAGATTCAGAAAAAACACAGGATAGACAGACAGACAGGAAGTGGGGTCAGGTGCATTAAGCACTCAGGTGGAGACGCACAACTCTCATTGCTTCTTTTCTCTATCTTTATACTTTAAGGCCTTATTCCTTGCAGTTCTTTAAGACTTTGCTTCTAAAGTTTTCCTTAAAACCTTTCTTAAAACCTTTTTCCTTAGACTTGCTCTGTCCCATGTTTTCTCTTAGCTGTTCCTTAGCATAATCACTCTTAAAGTCTTTTGCCCCTAGGCTTGCAATATCCCATCTCTCTTTAGCTTTCTTAAAGCCTCAGTGCTCAGACTTGCAAACAACAGCTGTGCCTAAAAACTGTTTATGCATAACTCTTAAAGTCTTGGTCTTCTGTCTTGCACTGTCCCATGTTCGTTTTGGCTTTTCTTTAGCTTAGCTTTCCTAAGACCTATGTATAAAGTTTTTTCTAAGGCCTATGTTAAAGTTCTCGATGCAGACTTTCAATCATCCCCTCTTTAGCCTTTTTTTTCCCTTCAGCAATTTCCGTTTAGCAATTCTTTTCCCTTCAGTAATTCTTTTCCCTTCCAAAAGCTTCCCACACCAAAAAGCCCAAAGCCAAAGCCCAAAGTGAGAAACTCAAGCCAAAGCCAAAGCCAAAACCCCAAAGTAAAAGCCAAAGGCAAAAAGCCTCACAGCCCAAAGCCAAAGCCAAAGCCCAAAAACCTCATGTCTTCCTTCAGCGGCAAACAGGGTGGAGCAGAGGCTCTTGGGGAGGGATGTGACATTGTAACAGGAGAAACCTTCATTCCTGCTTCTCTGAACGTAAACTCAGGAGACGGAGCTGTTCTGCTTTCATCTGTTTCTTGCCTGGAGCTGTGCCTATCTCGGCCTACAGGTAAAAGCAATTAAGCTACATCTTGCCTTGCTTGTGTCCAGTTCTCATAGGCTTTTCATAGTCCACTCTCCACGTGGTACTTTTTAAGGTTGCTTCCTATTTTAGGCATCCACTGAGTAGTCAATGTAGTTCTCTCATCTGGGGTTTTGGGTGACTATCAAGTTGCAAAATATTTGTTAATTGTTTTTGATTGTGATTGTGAAATGGAGCTTCATTTGCTTTCACAGTTATATGACAGTCACTTTTGAAATTTGTCAAATTTTCCAAAGACTCAAACCTAAAGATCACTTCTTTCCTCTCTTTAGTAATGAACTGAATCTTCAAGTTTAACTAAGGTCTCATCAAGAAATAATTTTGGATCTGCTTTAAACAGACAAATAGATTAGACTAGCCAAGATTTAGAGCTTTATTTTGTCACACAAGACATTGCCACATTTATTTTAATGTGAATGGTAAACTTTTTTAGAATGTGTACAGTCTTGATATTAGAAATGCCTTTGTGATATCTAGACCTCACTACTGTAATTGACAACCAAGGGAAATATTTTTTGATTGACAAATCACTTCTTAGGAAACAGAATGAGTCAACTTTAACTACATGAGATTGTCAGCTATTTGAACAGTTAAATGTTGGCATACAAGTAGGGTATGTTTAAAATACATGATGTTACTGTTAGTTAAACTCTTGCTTCTCTTTGAAAGCAATTAAACAGCATGGCCAGTAATTGATTCAACTCATTCTAATCTTGTTACTGTTTCTGCATTATGTATAAAGATATAGCTTATTTTCATTTTTTCTTTTTTCTGTTTTGGTGGGACTGGGATTTGAACTCAGGGCATTGCTCTTGCAAAGCTAGCACTCTTCCACTTGAGCCACTCCTCCAAGCCCCTAATTTATTTTTCAAAGAGTTGATTTCTAGTCAGAAAGATAGAACTTAGCATACATGCATTGCCCCATTAAAAGTAGTATTTATGATTCATCAAAGTTTTTCTGTATTTTAGGGGTACTATTTGGAGGCATAAACATTAATATCTGGGGTAGAAGAAGTATATGGCAAAGAGAACTCAAAATGGTTTGCTTAATACCAAGAATATTGACAAAGTGAATTAGGAAAAGGATTTTTTAATTTAGTTTTACTTCTTACAGCTTTGTCAGGAAGTCAAGCTTCGGAGGAAGATCAACATGAATGAACATTCTGAGCTTATTGATCTTGATCGTGAGAAGGCCACTCAAGATAAAATGTTGGAACCTCCTTCCAATTATCCCAATTCAGGACAATGTGAATTTACAGGGATGAATCACAGGGATGGTCCAGAAAAAGAAAATAAAATAGAGCAGAGCTTTCTCAGTGAAGGAAATCAAGTGTGTAAGGAACAAAAAGCAACAATAAAAGCTAAAGTAGTGTTAATGGATCCTTTGGCCACTGACAACCAAAAGGAATATGAGGCCTGGCCTGGCCTGAGGACTTCTGAGGAAGAGAGGAAGAGCAGTTCTGGTGCCCTTAACACAGTAAGTAAGATGTGTCTGGCTATAAAATGTTTCCAAAGAAGTATTTACATTTCAGAATCCTAACACGCTATTGTTCATATGTGCAAAGGCTCTTGAAGAACTTGCCAAGGTTAGTGAAGAATTATGCAGTTTTCAAGAGGAAATTCAAAAGCGGTCTAACCACAGAAGGTAGGCTGGCACATCTGTGATTTTTTCATTCTGGAAAATCAAAAACAGTATTGTTGTTATCCAATGAATCCAAACTGCATCCTCCTTACATTGTTTTAGTGAGAACTAATAAGTTATTAAAATTTTATTATGTTGGATGACAGATAGTTCAACTGTGTTTTGGTTCACTAACTCTTAAATCATCCAGTGCTCTTTGTAGTTTAACTATTAGGAATACTTTATTTACTCTTGGTGGTGGTGGTATACTTTCCTTAAAAAAGTAACAAGTATCCACTACTGTAGTTCTTTTTTGTTTTTAGTATTTGGTAGGGAAAGAACATACTTCTAGGCAAATACGGTTAAATATATCTTTAAAACAATGTCAAATTTAATAATACGGTGTTTTAATTATATATGATCTTCTGAAATATTTTGTGCCTGAGTCATTTATTTCTCTACAATTAGTAGTTATTTGATAATGGCATACATAATTTTCAGCACAGCACATTATAAATATGTCCATATATATGCATGCAACAAAATGCTGCCTTATTTCAGAAGAATAAGTTTTTTTAGCCAAATTTAAAAATTAATTTGGAATTCTCTATATGGTTAGAAAAGATGGATTGTTCTGGGATGAACATTTGTCTCCTTCAGGGGCTCCAGCATTTATCTCCTCTTAGAAAGCTACAGAAGTGTCCCTTTATATTTCTGTAGCCCTTAGGAAGTTCAGAGAAAATTTTTGTGCTGGTGTGAAATTGATTTTTTTAGGTAACTGTGTTTTACACATAATTTTACCCTCTATCAGCCCATTTAGCTTTTCTTACTACTCTCTGTTAATGGGTATTTATGTATACCTTATTGTAAACTATCTCATAATCTTTTATGAGTTGAATAGGTATAAATGATTTTTATTTATCAGTACAATTAAGTTTGATTTGTAATCCACATTGTTGCTGAATTTAGGCTATTGAAGTAACTCAGGAAAGACTTGCCGTTTTTCATTTATAAATCACACATGGCATAAAGCTCTCCTTCTTGCCATATGGCTTTCAGAAAAAAATTCAACATACTTAATATGTAATTTTAAAACATTACAATTTTTCCAAGAAATTACAATTTGATATTACCTTACATTTTTGTGTCATTTTTCATTATCCTCCCAAGTCTGCTGTAAATCTATCCATACTAAAGTACTCATTGTTCCTTCAATCACCATGTATATTTTATCAGGTCCTTTTAATCTATATATCCTTTACTATACTCATCAAAAAAGTCTTACTTTTCTTTCAAGCTCAAATGATACCTTCCATTTGGAGTTACTCAGGTCTCATTCCACTGTTATTTAGGCTTCTGTCATTCTACTTAAACTGTTACTTTGAATTTAAGGGGAGGAATTAGAGCTAAATTAGAATAGGAATTATGAATAGTGAATAAGAATTCCATAGGCAAAGAAGAGGAAAGGATATAGCAAGAGAAAAACTATAGCAATGGGAATGTCAATAGTAGGAACTACATAGTCTAGTCTGAGTCTAGTCTGAAATTTCAGGTAATAGTGAAAATGAGGGATAAGATTGGAAAGATATCTCAGGTTAAAGTGTATAGAGCCTTGAATATAACACTGAGGTGGACTTTGTCTTACAACAAAGTGGACTCAAAGTTTTTGAAAAAGAGATTTATATGAAAATGATATTTGAGGAAATTGTGACTCTTATTCTTAAGGTAAAAATCCACTGGTTTCTTTCAAGAGCTTATCTTAAAGTCATCACTAAAATACCATGTTTTATAATTTTTTAGAATGAAGTCAGACTCTTTTCTCCAGGAAATGCCAAATATAATTGGTACACCTCATGGGGACCACTTGATCAACAATGCCCAGTGCATTCTTCCAGTCAACTTAGAAAAAGATGAAAAGAAAAATAGAAAAAATGTTATTTATACCAAAGTGCTCCAAAGCAATTCCATGAAAAAATGTGGAATTCATACAATTGATATGCAAAGAAATGAAACCCCACCAATTCCTCCTCTAAGAAGCACCTCTCGAAATTTTCCCAGCTCATGTTCTGCACAAGATCAAAAAAGATTGAAGGAAAGTTTAGAGCACTCCCATAAGGGCCAAGGTGAAAGGAATTTCAATCCTCATTCATTTTTGAAGCAGCCTACATTGTGTCCAGATGAAGACAAGACTTTGAAAGACAGTACAATGTTTTCCTCTTTGACCCCAGAAGTCAAAACAGATAGCAAGCCTCCAGGTAATGAAGGTGTTGGACTTGCCATGTGGTCACGTGACATTGGGGTAGGTACCACAAAAAACCCCTCTACTTTGTGGTTTCAAAAAACCAGTTCTATTTCCAATAACCCCAAATTTGAAAATGTGATTCCGGATCACCCTGTTAAATCTCATGCTAATCTTCATGTAAGCAGCAACTGTAGTTCCAAAGTGACACAGAGCAGTGGCCCACTTAAAAGTCTCAGTGGTGGCTTTGAAAGGACTACAAAGAATGAAAAGCTGGCAGCAAAGACTGATGAATTTAACAGAACAGTATTTAGAACAGACAGATATTGTCATGTAGTACAGCAAAGTCAAAGCTACTCAAAGTCATCTGAGGATGTTAATGTCTGTGATACCTTAATTACTAATGTAAGTAACATATCAGAAAGTAACAATGTGACTGCTGTCCTGAAAATCACTGACCACATGCCTGTGCCCATGGGGAATATGTTCAATAATCCCACAAAGAAATCTACAATAGGCCTCATCAGACAAACACAGGAACTTTTAAGTCCTAGAAGTTATCGAAATATGTTCCACGAACATGACTGGAAACCAAGCAATTTGTCTGGCCGACCAAGGTCAGCTGATCCAAGGTCAAATTACGGTGTTGTGGAAAAGCTGCTGAAAAACTATGAGACATCAACAGGGTCTGCATTGCAAAACTCTAAATGCTTCCAGGATAACTGGACCAAATGTAATTCTGATGTCAGTGGTAGTGCCACATTAAGTCAGCATTTAGAAACTCGTCAAACGGAGCAAGAGTTTCAGCCAAAGACAGCTTTGTATGGGAGACAGCAAGTGAAGCAAAGAATAGATGGGAAAAAGATAACAGAGGTGAGAAAGCAAATTACATAGTATGGTAGAACTGCATCGTATTTAGCAATGGCTCTGAGTTCAGATAAATTGCCCATTCATATACACAAAATGTAGACACAGGTTTTGGCATCTTCTGAGCCTCTTAACCCTTTCTGAATATAATCCAACATGAATTTATGGTGTAGTTTTTAAGACTGGAAATAATCCATGATTTAAATAAATAAATAACATTAATATATTAAGTGGCTTTAAAAAGATCAGATGTTTATTATTCCTTTCTATAAAATATTTGGAATATACATTTGCTGGTTTATAGAATTTTATTCTTTAAAGATTTGTTTTTTAAGTATATGGGAATATTTCTAAGTAACTTTTACTTTTTGGTTACTAGCTATGATTGGTTCAGTCACTCTCAGCATTGGATTCATGTTCTCACAGGATTAGTCACATGACTATGAATATGAGTAAAACATGTCACTTAGAATAATGTCTCTTTGAAGCTAAAAGACAGTATATGGAAATAAGGTCATTCTTACCTGTATTCTTTTTTTATTTGCATATAGTAGTTGTACAGGGAGGATACATTGTGACATTTATATATGTGCTTATAATATAGCTTGATTAGATTCACCCCCTTCATCATTCTCCCTCATCTCCCTTCCCTCTTCTCAGAACCATTTCAGCAAGTGCCATTGTTCTATTTTCATACACAGACACACAATACATCCACCATAGTTACTCTCCTTCACCCTCTCTTCTGTTAATCCTCCCCCCTCCCAGGACCTGATTTATAGGAGGCAGTAGAGGAAAAGAGAATAATAGAGTGAATAATATTAAAACACAGTGCATTTGTATATGAAGATAGTATAATGCAATGTTATACTAGTATAATAGTGTATTATATATATATATAATAATAGTATAGTATAAACTGTTGAATAATAGGGGATCAGGATGATAGAGAAAGAGAGTAATAAAGGGGGTTAATCTGATCAAAGTAAAATATATGTGTCTGAAATACCAAGATAAAACCCCTTGAACAGTCAATATATACTAATTTATAGATATTCTTACCATGAAAATTGTCAAAAAATTTATATTTAAATAAACTGTTACCCTTTTTTAATGTTCTTTTCCACTAACGAAAGAGCAAAATCTTCATTAACTATTGGAAAGAGGTCAAAGAAATTGGTGTTTAAAATGAAAAGTTATACAGCGTTCTCGTTTGTGCATATAATCTTATAAGACATTGTTATTATTAATCAACATTTTACTTAATTATCCTGCTTTTGTATATTTTATTTTTTATTGAGCCCATGAATACCTGCCTATAGCTAGAGATGGGAAATAAAAACGTATAAACAGTTAACCAAAAAATTTTTCATTAACTAGCAAGAAATGCTGAATGTTTTCTTTTTTCCTGGCATTAATTGGGGATTTGGTAAGCGTGCACTCTACTATAGATACTTAGCAATAGATTTTATTTTGACTTGGTATGGTTTGGTTTTCCCTTGTGAATAAATTAAGACAGTAAGTCTCCAAAAGAGAAAAATAAAATGCAGGTTATTGCCAGGCTATGACTTAAACACTAGAAATTGAGATCATCTTCCATCTCAGATGAAAGAGCATGCTTTGTTAAGGTCAGTTAGGACCAAGGGTATAAAATATGTTACAGAAGATTTTTAATCTTTTTAATTATTAAGATCAGAGACTTTTCCCCTTTATAATAAAAAGAAAGAAGGAAAAGGTTCTTATACATCAGATGATGCCCAAAATAGATAGCAATTCTTTTAATTAGTGATTAAAGTTGAATTAAAAAACATTTTACAGCTTGGGATGTAGCTCAGTAATAGAGTACTTACCTAGTATGTGTGAAGCTCTGTATTCAATCCACAACACTGCAACTTTTTTTTTAATTTAATGATAATTTTTAAACTTTTGTGAGATAGTAGCACAGTGATCCTTAGTTTTAAAAGAATCAGATAAATTATTTTGTTTATTTACCTTTGGCTTATGACCTCTAAAATGTCAATAACCTGACATAAATGAACTGTTTCTAATATAAATTATCTTATTTTCAAATAACACTAACACATTCTAGTATCCCACTAAGACACATCTGTAGTTCCATCATATTGAAATTATTTTACTTGAAATTTTGAATCTTGAGCTCATAGTTCTACATAGACATCAATTTTATTGATTTGTCAATATGAGATTCCAAGATTATCAAGTTTTATGATTTTGATTAAAACTGAGTTTGATTAAAACATTCAAGTTCACAAATATTAGATGAATACCTTCTTTTGTTTTTACTGCTTTCCTTGATTATCAATTGGCTCGTACATGAATCCCACAGTTGGGATCCATAATGTATTAAGCCCATTGGTGGTGTATGTATAGTGAGATGAATGCATTCATTTGTGTTGTAGGAATCCATGTTAGTGAAAACCTCAAATGGAAAAGGATTTTCTCGACCTGCGAGACCAGCAAATCGTCGGCTCCCATCCAGATGGGCATCCAGATCTCCATCAGCACCCCCTACCTTGCGGAGGACGGCCCACAGCTGTAGCGTTTCTCTGCGATCCGAAGCGTCGATGGTCTAAGTCTCTAGCCTGGATTATTAGATTATAAAAGTACTAGTCCAAGTTGCCAAACTGAACATTGTGAGTGTTTTTGACCCATCCTGTTTTCTTCTGTATCTTTCAAGATCCCTGGGAGAAGCAATTTCAATCTTACCTTTCCATCAGTCTTCAGTGTTTTTAAACTACGGAATAATTATCTCCTTGTTATTTTGCTTTCTTAGATCAGAACTTTTTAGTGCCATCCTCATTAATTTTCTATAATATGATTTATGTTGAAACGATGTACAATATTGTATATTTAACTTTCTTGCAAGTGGCAGAAAGCAAGGTGACGTGCATGCCATGTGTTTGTAAGTGCATGTGTTATAACGAGTATTCCAGTAAGTATTTAGATAAGAAAACCTTCTGTGCTAGTGCTAACTTTGAAATTATAACATGTATACCTATATATTCTTTGTGTTTATTTACAAGTTTTGAAAAGATACAGGACTATTTATATTTTGTATACCTTTTAATAGGTATTCACCTAAAGCATCTGAGGTTCATATATTAATTAACCAGTTCCTTGGCTCATAACTACATTGAAAAATAAGAATTATACACATATCTAACATTAGTAGTTTTCTAAACACAGCTTATAAATAGCCTCTTAACCTACATGAGGATAAACTAATACCATTGATTTTCTTTTAAATAAAAATGCAACAAGTTTAACAGATCAGCCTTTTAAAAGTAAGCATAAAATATCCATAAATGCTGTTATATATCATTGGGTAGTCTCAAGTGGTTTTACCTGTATACTTGATCCTCAGAGCTAGTGTCATAAGATTGCCTTATGAATGACAGGACTAAATAATGAATTGTTAATTTTGTCAACCTCAGTCACAAACATTCCTTACATGGGATGCAAAAAGAAATTAAATTATGCTCAATTTCACTTTTTGTTAAAATTATGATAAGATTTTAATTTATCTGGTTTATCTGGAGCCATACATGTTTAGAGGTAAGTCATTTTTTTGTTTCTTTTTCTAACATTTCTCTGTAAAATTAGTAGATAAAAGACTAATTCATTTTTTTTATTAATGAGGAAGATCAGGAAAAATATTTCATTGAGAGCAGAATTATATTTCTTATAGTGTGCTACAAAATAAGGCCCTAAATTGAATATTGGCATACACACTAGTATGAGAAACAGAAATGTTTGTATGTATGTATATAAAAGGCTAAAATTTGCAAACAGTGAACACGTGAAATCTATGTTGAGAACTGGCAGAAATAGTAATGTTGAGGTGCTTGGAATTCTACATAGACTATCTTAGAAGCAGCATTGTTTTCCACTGTCTCTATTTAAAACCAATTATGATATGTTATTAGACATTAATTCTATTTCAGTTTTTCTTTTACTACCACAAAAGGTTAAGAAATTCTCATGACAAATGTCTTCAGAGAGACTTCTCCTATTACTTTCTAAGTACTTAGAGGAATTCACTTTATTATACCACACTCTGAGGTAAAGTAAATAATTTGCAAATTGCAAACTGCCTTAAAAATCTCATAATAATGACTAGATTCATGCTTTACAATAAAGAGAGTTCCAACAGTTAAGCTGAATTAAACTTCTGGAATATGAATTTGGATCAGGTGGTAAGTAAGGACTGTAGATCCACTCTTCTAATTCTTGTTTCTTTCAGGGAATATCTTTTCCCACAATAAATCTATCAATCAAAGAAAAGTAACCTAGATACAAAGTGATACCACTTTAATTATGTGCTTTTGCAGTGAAGGGGAGAAAACACAGGGAAGGTGATACCTGGGGTCATGAAATGATGGACCTTTTAGGAAAATGTTGCCATGGACAGTGATGCTCAAAGATTGTACTGTGTATGTTCCTCACCACCCCAAGCTGTCTGATGTGATCTGTGGTCCCTTCCTTTACCTACAAATCAGAATATTTGAGGATCTCTTTAAAAAGTCAAATTCTGATCTCATCACATAATTGCTGAAGCAAAATTTCCAATGTTGAGGAATGGAATTCTGAGAGTTTTTAATGAAACAAAATAAAGAAAAATGCAAAATTGTTGCTGAGCAGGGGGATTTTGAAGCAGTGGCATGAATTCATACCTGACTAGGTGAGTATCCTCAGATAGTGATTTTCTTGCCTGGGACTTGCCTTTGTTATCTATAAGTGAAAAAAGATACATTGAAAGACTTTACGATTTTAAGCCACTTTTTCTATTATCATTTGAATGAACCAGTGGGACCATTTTAACATCTTATATTGACTAAAATAATAAAATATTAGAACTGAAATTATAATTAGCTTCTAATCCAAATCCCTGATTATAAAACTGAAGAAATGAAAAGATTGGAGTATTCTGTGTTGTCTTTTAAAATATTTTATAATTTTTTATGGAAAAGTCTATCAGGTAAATGGAAATTATCCTTGAAAAATATTTTTTGAAGTATTGTGGTTTCTAACTGGTAATTTTTCTACTTTGGAAGGGCATTTTCTTCTCGAAGTATTCCCTTCTTTATGCCATCATTGCTGGATTTAAGAAATTTATAAATACACAAAAATGTGATTAGGAATACATAATTATGGATGTTTTCCTAGCAGACTTTTAGAAGGAAAATCTGACATTATTTCACAAGGGATTACTAATATTGTTAGTTGATCTTAGAAAGGAATAAGAAAGAAACAGAAAAGAGTTCTTCAGTTTCTGTGAGTGCTTGTGTATGTATGCACAAGCATGCTCCAGCCACACTCTCGGAAGTTTTCTATATTGCCTTATGCTCCAAAGCCAAATATAAAAATATAAATGATGCTTTGTATAATTCACTGTTTCAAAAAGTATCCATAGCTTTCATTTGTTTTTATATGTAGACTGTGAAGATGATATTTCATTTTGTCAATATTGCCCTAAAACATGACTTACATCTCTGTAGGTGATTTAACCTGGCTCCGTATCATTCTGAAAAAGCACCTGAACCTAAAATGAGTAACTACTTCCCTTAAAAGGTATTTGAAATTATTTTAGGCACATTTTCTGATAAAATAATTACCTGATATTGCAATCTCCATCAGCCATTGAAAGCTCTTAAATAAAATAAGTTTGCAAACACCTGCTGTGACATTTGTTTACATTGAGAATATTTTTATTTTCCTTATTTTCTACAATGAACTGAAGTGAAGCTGAGAATCTCAGTTTAAACTCAAATGCATACACAGTTCAATCTAGCTTCTCCAAAAACATCTCTGAAATTTTAAGCCAAACTTGCTTGACTTCCTTCTCCTGGCCAGCTACACACAATCCTGTATCTTTGATTCTACACGCATCCATCCTGTGCCTATTTAACTGTCAATTAAGTCTGATAAAAGTTTTTTTTGAAAATAGCATTCACTTCTGAAATTTTCATTTACAGAATGAAATTAGGCAGATTTGAATTTCTAGTATAGTACTATTTTGCTTCAAATTCTCCATGTTTTTCTTTAATAGAAGGTGTCTTTATCAGAATTTATAACTATGACTTTACCTCACTGAGTAAATATGCTTCTTCCAAAAGTAGGTGTCAGAGTTTTCTCCCATCTCCTGCATGAGGAACAGGAAATGTTTCTCCTCTTTTCCCTCCACTTCTTCCTACTTTATCCTGTTATACTAAAATAAATCCTTGCTAAAACTTCAAAACAAATGGGTGTCATAATGAAAAAAGTCAAAAACAAGGAAAATTCTAGAGAGGTTCTTGAGGAAAATGCCAAAGATGACTGCTATTCAATTATTTTTCTATATAAATTTTTCTTATCCATAGGAAATAATTTTTGTGATGGTAAAATCAAATCCCATGACTTGAAAGAAGATCTGTATTTCAGTGATCTTATGAATCCACTAGATTAGATTACAAATTTTGGGGAAAAAAATTGTATATAAAGATATGGAGAAGTGTACAAATTAGGGCAAGTTCCATAATTAGAAGAACCTGAGAAATCACTCCAAAAAATCTTATTTAGAGGTAAGAAGAGAAGTCTTTGGGTGCCAAGATTTTATGGATGGAATCTGAGCCTAGCCTGGAAGACGGCCATCCTACATTCTCTGGATAAATGTTCCTTGTATGTGTGTGACATATAGTTTACAAATCACATTCATTCATGTTCCATGACTTGTTTGTTTCTCATAGCAAACTTCAAGGCAGGCATTGTGATTTCTAATATCTAATCAAACCAATAATGAGAAAAAATATTTCTCAAGATGTTGGTTGGAAATAAATAAGTGGCTTTTCAAAACTCAGGCTCTTTTTCCCAATCTTCTTTTCCCAAAGAAGTGGAAGAGGAAGGAAGAAAAAGAATGAACAGTGCTTTCGCATTTTTGTTTTGTTAAGTTTTATTATGACACTGATATTATTGACTTTGCTGTCATGGAGAGTTTCTCTATATTCTTTCAACAATCTTAACTGAAAACCAATATTCCTAACTTATATGAATTCAACAAATTCAAGAAGTTGTGAACAAGGTTCACTTTAGAAAGATATTTTCCACTTTTAATGCCTATGCTTTGATTTTATATAAATTTTGTATGTAAGGCATGATGTTGAAGGTAAAACCAATAAACAGGCAAACAATCTTTATAGCACCAACTGAATCCTGACCTTCTCCATCTTCTCCTGACTTCATAGAAAAGTTTCACGCTATATAACTTGCACGACCCCCAGAATAAATGAAAGCATTTCAGTTGAAGTATTGTCCAGGTCCATTTGTGTCAGTATCAGCAACTGCGTAATTTGTAAAGAAAAAAAAAAAAACTTTTGACAATTCTAGAGGCTGGAAAGTTCAAGATCAATGTGCTGGTGTCTGGTGAGAACTGTCCTTTTCCTCAAAGATAATGCCTTGCAGCATGCCTTCACATGACAGAAGGGTAAACGATGTGTCTTTCCATGGCAGAAAAGCAAAGTAACATAAGGGATGATCATTGTGTCATCCAAAGCCTCTTCTACAAGGGCCCATTTATGAGGGAGGAGCCATCATGATTTACTTCCTAAGGCCCCACCTCTTAAAACTGTTGCATTGGAGATTAACTTTCAGTGTGAATTTAGAAGGAGCGAATTAACACCAAATTAGTCTGAATTTGTATAGTTTTTATTTCAATCTTTGCTTGAAACCCCAGTAAAGGACTGTCTGAGTTAATATCTGGAGTGAAATAGTTAATTTGCAATGAAAACCAGAAACGTATACACAGTATTTTTAAAAGGAAGCTACAGGTAAAAGTAATAAGAGGCAATAGTGTCTGTTAAAATCTGGAAATAAATCACTAGGAAAAAATACTCTTCCTAGAAAAGTAAGGAGTTGAAGCCTGTAATGTCATCCTGTTTGAAAGGAATTTGGCAGTGTTGCCCAGGTAACCAGAGCTAAATGAATTTAGGAGGTGCCCTGCTCAATAAAGGCAAACACCAAACTTCTCAAGCCTGTCCAGGGCTTGAGGAAGTACTACCATCAGGGACTCCAGGAGAACAGTGCTCAGAAATCAGGTAGGCATCCAGATGGACACACCATGGGAACAGTGCTCAAAAGTGAAGTAGGCAGTCATCATCAAAATTTCTTCATAAAGCAGTCTGGATGCTGAGTCCATGGCCTGGGTAGAAATGAGATGTCCAGGGAAGGAAAATGGAAAAGCAAGATCTGAGATCAAGAAGCCCAGATCTTGGAACCAGCAGGTAGGAAGTAAAGACCTGTTTGTGGGCAACTAGGAGAGTAATCACCACTAAGCTGAACTAAATGGTAGATGAGTGCTGCTAGTTTTTGAGAACTAAAACTAACAGGATACCCTCAGAAGACCTCACTGGGATGCACTAGAAAAGATATAAAGATGATAAGTAAAGACCGATCCTCTATTTTCTCTCTATCTTCATTGTTGTTTTCTATTGCCAGAAAGTAAAAGTTCTCCTAATAATGTGACAAATAAAATAAACCATCCATAATTTCAGATAATAGACAAAAGCAAAATAAATACTCTAGAAATTAAATCTTTATATATATGTGTGTGTGTGTGCACGTGTGTATGTATATATACATATATGTATGTATGTGTGTATGTATGTATATGAAGTGGAACAGCCATATTGCTTCAGCAAAAATAGAGTGGTAAGGACAAAGGAATGCAATGGCATTATAAATAAAGAAGAAGAAACTTAATGATTCTCAGTTCTATCTGAAGAGACCTGGGCTGCATAGAGCAAGGAAAAGGGATTGCAAGAGCAAGAATGTCCTGAGTTCCAAAAGAAACACATGTAGAGTAGTGTTTCTTATGTTTCCATGAAGTTTTCTCTAGTAGCATTAAAAAAAAAAGGCCACCCAAACGTCTCTCACAGTGTCTAAATAGGCCACGGTAAGGGAAAATTCTCTATATTTTAGGATTTAAACTTGAAAAAATTTAGTCCATAAGCAGAGAATTTGTCTGTTTTGTTCACTGATAATGTCAAACACTTTTCTAAGTGCCAGAAGATGGAAGGTTAAATGACTTCAAGAAATCTCTAAATGTTTCAGTCACTTTCTCTCAGAAAAAAAAAGTTTTCTCTATGTGTCCTTATTTAATCATAATTAAGTTGGACTTACTTATTTCATATGATTGAGCTGGCCTAAATTTACGTTGTTTGGTAATTTCTCTTAAACATGCATACAAATTGAAATTGCTTTTATCTTTGTTTCACAACCTTTACAAGTTTAAGCACTATGGAAGGATGAGCAGAACATTGCCAAGAAGATGGTACACTGGAGTGTTTCAGATGACTGCTGGTAGGAATTTTGTTAAATATATTTTAACTGTAAATTTAAATTAAATTTCCTGATAAATTTAAATTTGCAAAGCTGTCTCTTACTGTCTTATACAAAAATAGTTGAAGAGTCTTTAAGGAAGAAAAGCAATAGGTTATACAGACTTCTATCACATGTAGTTATATTTCCAAATTTTCATTATTAATAAAATCATCTTTTCTGAACTCTGACACTTTAATTCTGCTGCAATTTTATGGAATTCATTGGAAGTTTTTGCATTTTTACTTTCACAAAGATTTCAGTCTACCTTAGGCAAAGCAATGATTCATCTTTTTAATCCACATTTTAGCCATTACCATAAATTTTGGGGGTTTTATTATTGTTGAGATATTTTCTCACTATGTAGCTCATGCTGGCCTTGAACTCCTGCTTCTTCCTTCCCAGTGTTGGGATTATAGGTATGAACACTACACCCAGCATTGTCATAAATTCTCCATTTATAAGAAATTAATTCTGATCATTGAAAATGTAATCAGTATTTTTCTCTGCCTTAGCCAGTACCTACATGTGTCAAATAACAAGTTTTCAGACAAATTTCTCATTCCTTTACAAATAATTTGAAAAGTCAAGCACTTGATTATTTTTTCCTGCTAATTTTAAACAAAAGCTAGCTTTCCTTTCCACCTGTTAATACACCAAAAAAT